TACCCTTGTAACGCTTGAGCTTGAATCGCTCGTAGTGAACGATGTGCTGGCAGACGTTGTCAAGGAAACCAGAGTCGTGAGAGACGATGATAGAAGTGCAAGCAGAGTTCTTGAGGTACTCCTCGAGCCACTTAACGTTCTTCACATCCAAATGGTTGGTAGGCTCGTCAAGCAACAGAATATCGGGAGCCTCAAAGACGGCACGGCACAAGGCAAGCTTCATCTTCCAACCACCAGAGAGGGCGCTGATCTCACCCTTAACCATCTGATCGGTGAAGCCGAACTCGTTGAGCTGCTTCTCGACATCAGCCTGGGTGGTTGTGACACCAGCCTCCTCAAGCTTCTTCATGGTCCAGTCGATGGTGGTCATCTCAGTATCAGCGGAGTCCAAGTCGTGCTCGACGAAGACAGTCTTGACCTCGTCCTGCTTGGGGAAACCCTCGACCTGCTCGTTGTTGATAGCGCGCATGAGGGTGGACTTTCCGGAACCGTTGGGACCGCAAAGACCGTAGCGCTGACCACGCTTGAGACGGAGATGAGTCTGGTTAAGAAGAATCTTGGCACCGTAGGCAAGAGAGAAGGTACAGTTGCAGAGATCCTCACCCTCCTCTTCATCAGCCTCACCCTCAGCCTCGGCGACAGCGCCGGGAAGAGCGGTCTTGCGGATGGTCTCGACGATGGACTCGGCGTTGTCAATACCAGAAATGACAGAGACGTAAGCCTTCAGGTTGTCGACCCAGATCATGGACTCAACCTCCTTCTCATCAACGAGCTGGCCTGCAATGGCAGAGATGTACTCGGTGACGGGACCCATCTTCTCAACGTAGTTGGCGAACTTGGGGGAGAGAGCAGCAGTGACCTTGGGCTGGACAACGTTGATGGCACCAGGGAAGGTGGGCTCAGGGATGACACCGTTCTTGATGTCACCAACACGGGTGAGGGTGTCAAGAGCCTGCTTGGTCTTCTCACGGGCCTCGGGATCAGCCAAGTTGTCGTAGTTCTTCTGGAGACCTGGCATCATCTTGGGCAAGAAAGGAGCGACAACGTTGGGATCGTCGACGAGCTTGCACATGTTGTCAACGATAACAGCGGTCTTTCGCTTGATAGCGGTATCACGCTCAGCCAGACCACGATCCAGAAGAGGGACCATGAGGGCGAGCGTGGGCTCCTGGACCTCAGTAACGAAAGTGGTGGCACCGAGCAAGTGAACGGTCTCAGGGACGTTCTCGGGCTTGGCGATACACTTGATGAGCTCAGGAATGAAACGCTCAATATCCTTGTTGATAATCAGCTGGCAAAGCTGCTCCATGGTCTTGTAAGCACGCTCCTTGACCTCCTTCTTGGTGTCCCACATGGACTCGGAGATGACAGGGATGAGTTCAGGAACACGGTAGGCGAGCTGAGCAGGGGAGTTCTTGACGAGGTACTCGACGAAGTCAAGAGCGGCCATCTTTTCGGGCCACTTCTGGGCACTTCGGATGGACTCCATGACGTAAGGAAGGGCAGCCTTGACAGCGTTGGCGTTGATGCCGCCAGCAATGGCGAGGACAGCACCCTGGGCGGCATTCTTGACAGCGGTGATCTTGTCGCCAACGGCGGCAAGGACAGCGGGGAGGAGGACAACGAGGTAAGGCTCGACGGCAGCGGAGACCTCGGCGTGAGAAGCGATAGCCTCGATGGCAACGCAAGCCTTCTCACGGGCGGCGGCGTCCTTCTTGTTGGCGAGCTGCTTCTTCAAGCCCTCGATAACACTGTGGACAAAAGTGGTTAGCATACGAACAAATTTTTTTATGGCTCGTTTGGAGGGGTCGCCATGCCAGGGTATGGTACGCTAGAGCGTCCATCACTCAACTATGGCGGGGCAAGATTGGGCATTCAAGAGGAGGGGGAGGGGCAAGCGATTCGTAGAAAAAAAGTTCTAGCGATCGTCTTGTCCAACGCCACAGGAAATCCATTCCAGTCACACTCAAGCTTTGCGTCTCACATGCATGAAACTTATCAGCCCTTGGTGCTGACTATGAAAATGAGAGAGGCAAGAATGAGTGTCAAGAATGCCAGTTGTTCCTCAAAATGAAATACCCAATGATACCCAACGTGAAGAGCCAGATGATGGCATGGTGAGATAGAGCAACTTACTTCTCGGGGACGACCTGGTCACCGATGCGACCGTTGATGAAAGAAGCCAACTCGTTGGAAGACTCCTTGATGTCAGAGGACTCCTTGGACACGGTGAGCTTCTGGAAAAGCTCGTCCAGGACCTGGGTCGACTGCTGGTTCTCGGTAGGCATGATGTCGATTTGGAATTTTATATTTTGGGGTATAAGGAAGAAAATAGGTCGTCGAAGAGACAGAGATCGATGGAGGAGTCGACTCTGTTGTAATCGGCGATAGTGGAAAGTTCCTCTTTGATGAGGGCGGTGTTCGTTCAAGGAAGTGAATCCAAAGAACAAACTAGAACGCGAGTAAAGAAAGTAAAGAGAGGTTCGTCTGGAGGATGACGACCGGAGAGCGATGGAGGAGGAAAAAAGAGAATGAGGGAGATGAGGAGGGAGGAGGTATTGAAAAAGGAAGAGAGGAAGGGCCACAATTTTTATTACCTCTGCTACGTTTTAGGTTCGCTGCACAAATTTTTTTTACTTTGCCTCTGGCCACCAAAATTTTCAGCGTTCTGCGCTACCCCTCCAATTTTTTCAACCCCTCCTTCCACTACGTTCGGCGGCGACTCAGCTTATCGGTTTTATCAACGTGAAGACTAAACCTAATATGGTAAGTGGATGAGGGCGGTGAGTGGTTTTGTCTTGAAAAGCATTGGAAGTTCTCTGGAGGCATCTCCGATTTAGTGTCTTGCTGGGCTAGACCCATGCACAAATAATGTTCCTTGTACTAAGAGGACAGCGATTCACTGAAGGCATTTGCTGTCCTTAGAACGAGGGGCGAATGTGGCACTGTATTGCCAGATGGCATTCTAGTATCGTATCATAGTACAAAGATATTTGCTTCCATTAATCTTGATAATGTTGAACTTTTGAGTGAGATTTATTTTTCACATCAAACCTTGGTTGTTGATCCAAGGCATCCATGTCCGTGCTGAGTTGGGTTGGGCTACTATAAGCTTGTTCCCAATGCCATTGCCATCAAAAAGGCAGGCAAAACCTCTCATCGTTCTACAAAGCTACGAATCAGCAAAAGATTGCTCCAATCTTTTGCCCACATTAGTAGATATCCACTTCCCGTCTCCCTGACGACCTTTCGTCACAGATTCTTCTAGATCCTTGTTCAAACATTGATATCCAGGTCTGCCATTGCCATCCTTACTTAGCAGTAACGAGAAAGAAAACATACAGTCCTGCCTTCGTTTTCCACTGAACTCGGGGCAAATGACCTCAGATACGGGCTTTACCAGGTGGTTAATATATCCGTATTCGTACTCTTTGCTTCGGCATAGTGAATGGAGGGAGTCCTTGACTCGTTTTCCGTGGAACTGGGCGGTAAAGCCGTTCAGCCATCAATTATATCAGGCCAGTTGATATGAAGACTCGGGATATGCTGCGTAGAAGGCACCTATATTCAGTATTTAATAAACACACCAGCAGAATAGTACCTAGGCCTGTACGAAGTTCTTGGATATTTAAAAAAGCTTACTGAACCATGTTGGCTTTTGCACATTGCAAGATATTGATGCCTCAGTGTCCTCGTCAACAGCTACCCAGACTCAACTGCAATAAAGTGCAAGATAGATACATCCTCTTTCGAATCTTTCCGTCGTCTCATTTCTTCCGCCTTTGTTCCCCTCGGATCATCGCTTTTCGCCCAACAAAAGACGGCTACTCCGAGCTCAAGTCATGATGGATGCCCTAGTCCTCTTTCGGTAGAATCTGCCTCGACCCTCAGCGATCTGGGTGGTGGGACCGGCTTTACAAACAAACAAGATGCTGCTTTTCCTAGCCTTTCTCTCCGCCACGTTGCCACGGCACTTCTATTCTAGTGGCTCATTTTATTCACCAATCGATACTTAATACTGTACAAAGAAATGGGGACCCAAGCACAGTGGCTGCTGTATGAAAACTCAAGGAGATGAACATCGAAATCCCATACACAGATTGGAGTATTACCAGAAAGACGACTTCGTGTGTTAGCAGTGCTTGCACAGAGTGTTTCAACTTCAACCCCGGAGGTATCACCTTATCGCGGGGCCCCAGCATCCCCGGATTTATGCCCCAGCTCACCGACAGTTGTAACAGACACGTCTGGAATACGTACCTAAGAGACATACACGAGAAGCAAAGAGGCCTTTCCAGACTTTTTTGCAAATCCCAACTAAGACAGGCTGCCTTGATTCCAATATTCCCATGTGAATTCAGTTAGATGCTCTCATTATGCCTCGGATCACCTGTGGGCTCTAGTCGAGACAATCTTGACTGAAGTGCCCTCCCTGAGCCAATACCTTTTTGTGTTAAGCTGCCTTGACAACCCTTGTTTATAATTCGTCGTTGCCAATAAGCACCTGAAGATACGTATCGTTACTGTTTGTCAAGAAAGCATGCGTTGCCCCTTGCTCTCTTCGCGATGAATGTCATGTGAGTCCAGTTCTCTACGTCTGCATCGTATGTAATTGCTGTCACTGAGCCTACTCATGGTAGTATGATAGTCGCGCACAACAAAGAGCGAGCTTCGTATAAGCCTTTGTTCATGTACATCATCATCGCTGGATTAGATAGAACCTAAACTGGGATAGGGAAATCTCACAGGGATGGTGGCTTGCGTGTCTTTGTTGTTTATTCTTGGGCGCTCGGGTCGAGATGTTGAAAGCCGACCAACGCCTTCGACGTTCTTTGTTGATTACATGAATCCAGTATGTGTTTGACCTTTGTCCTCTGAAAGCCCGTCACGAGGCTCGTTGAGCACCGATATGTCTATTAACCAGCATCCCAAGTGACAAATGGTGATATGAAGCGTCCTCTTCTTCTTTCAAGCTAATACAGACGAATAATTGTTCCGCCATGGCTTCCATCCCTAGAAGCGTACCTGGGAACAATCCCGGTGTTCCTCTAAACCCACCTTCACGCTATCCTACGCCACGCAAAGAGCCAATTCAAGGAAGCTACGCGTACATTCAGTACCGTCCCGCCTGGACAGACCCAGATTGGCAAGACGAGGGTCTTGGACGAGAGAAAACTGACAAGGATGGAAAGTTTTTCGAAATCCATGACCCTATCTTTGATCGACTGCGACCTGCCCTGCTGCCTCGAGATGCTTTCAACAACCCTACCCTCTACGCCCAGCGTTTCAGTATCTTTCCTGGTCGGACAGATGGTCGTTCTAGAACATCACCTACGCGAGCTGATAGTCGAAAGCTCTTCCCCGCCGACACGGATATAAAGACAGGAAAACAATTGTTCGATCGCTTTGATAAATTGGCCAGAGACGCTGGGCAACATGTAGACGACTACATGTATGATACGAGACCGGATCTGAAGAATCTGAGTGCAACGGAGCAGCAGTATATGCAGCAGTACGAAAATCTTATCATAGACGAAAACTGGCAGAACATTCTTTTTGGAAGCTTGACCATGGACGAGGTAAGTACTGCAGACAAATATGCTATCATTGAACATTTCCAACAAAAACAGATTCTAGCTGAAGGGTATCTCACCATGTGCGACACGGAGTTGAACGAGCTATCAGGACCTCTACATGAGTAAGTTTCTTCTATATCTTATGGTGCTTTCACTGACCTATGATTGCAGGCTATTTGCCCGAGATTTTTGGATAGATTGTCGTACACTTGGAGATTCGGCAAAAAATCCTCGCTACATGTATACACTCGACGGTCAACGTGAGGAGTGGGATCCCCGGGTATGTATGCTTGACATACAGATGTGCGATGTGCTGATAAACTGTGACCCAAGAACAACGACCGTGTGTGGAATGCCTTACAACCAGCTCTTCAGCTCGCTACGCGCTTACTCCTAAACAGCGAAGGATTCGTTGAGGGTTTGCAAGATATCACGAATCGATTTTGGATTGAAGATCATCTATTTGCTGACCTGCCAGATCAAAATAGAGTAGCCAAACTGAAATTCATGCGCAACCGTCACGCCCAGGATGTGATGAAAGTCCATTACGCACAGGACGTTAAAGACAGTGGCGTTGATGTTCTGGAACTATCTTTGGAAGTCCTACGCCGAACCTTGGAGATCAAATTGTCGAGTGGATTCGATATGTGTTCAAAGCCAGGAAGAGTTTTGAACATGGGAATGCAAAACGCAGACTTATTCCCCAATGATCATAGCAAGATCACCATCAACATTGACTCTGAGCTGGTTTGGCCATTGCTAGTGGACAAGTACACCAAGAGTGAAAAGATGATGGCCAACGTCATACTTGCAACCACCATAGCCCATGAGATGATGGTAAGATACCCCAAGCACTACTACGCTTTCCGCAAAGGAAATTTAATCACTGACATTTCAAAACAGCATGCATTTTGTTCTTCACCCTTCATATGGCTAGATAACCCTGGTTCCTTTGGTATCACTAACGCTGCACTAATCATGAACTGTCAATCACTAAGTTCGGAGCTTAAAGACTACAAACACAATGATCGATTTCAGGAGCCCTACTTTGAGGATAACATTTTTACCGAGGTCGGGCATGCTTTTGAAGAAAATGTCAGTACATGTTGAGATCAACTCAGCTTTATCATGCGACACGGGGCAACTGACAAGTGACATGGCAGATTCTATCATGTGGATATTGGCCTTTCGTCTTTGGTACTACACAAGATTACAGTTCGCCACTCCTCCAGGCATCAGGTGGTCTCATGTCCGCAATATTACACAGTGAAGGGTATGTCAATGCGGTGCCGTGCCTCAAGGAGCCACTCAGTCAATTAGTCAAACTCAACCATCTTGTACGGTTCGAGGATGTCAAGAAGTTCTTTTCTCAGAGTTTCTGGGACGTTGCGATCAATAAATATGGTCCGGCTGCCCTGAGAGAACCGTCGAAGAAGCCTCACAAGTTCAATTTCTATCCTGCGGACAAAGATTATGCAGGGTTGGTCATCACCCAACTTCGTTTAATCAACGACAAAGATAAGGAATGGCTCAAGAAGTTCAGACGCGACTTGCTTGACAGAAACTACTATGTTCTGTGGAATTATCTTCACAACATTATGTTCGAAACGGCTCAGTATGACTCAATGTCGACTCGACTCGAATATGCGATAAATAGGTGGGATAATGTGGCTCCTTGGATCAACACGGGCAGGGAGGTTCACATGATCACCTGTGAGTACTTGGCATACTTTTTTCAAGTACATCTGCCCCAACATAACTCCAGTCGCCTCGAGTTACTCTATATGGCCTGGGACTCGAAGAGAGACGCACTAGGATCCGTACCTGACTGGGAATCTAACCATCTCTACCAAAATTCGGCACCCTTTCAAGATAGCGAAGAACGTTGGCGTCGCTTGCTGCAGTCAGGACACATTGAGGACTTCGAAATGCGTCTAGTTCCAAAGCTCATTGAATTCACGAAAGCCATTGAAAGAGAACTCGGACAACACGAAAGCCTGCTCTGCGAGTTGTACCAAGGTGGAAGCTATCTCTGGAATTTATGGGCCGCAAATAACCCATTCGAATTTCATAGTTGGCGACTGCACGTCGAAGAACTGCAAGACCTCTTAGGCGACATTGTTGTGTCTATGCAACTAGGACACGAGGGTATGAAGGCCCTCGATGGGGGGGACTGGGGCCAACGAATATCGATCCTTGCCCGAAGAATAGAAGACTTGGTCACGCTACAGTCCTTCGACACTACTAATTACGACTGGCGTGACCTTATGTGGACAATGCCTATGATACGAAAGTCACGTCGTCTGCCACATCAAAGATATTATTTCCTCGCCAAGAAGGAAATGATGAAAATGACAGGAAAGGATCTGGCTGACCTCGCGGAATTCAAAAGACGTTTCGGGTTGACTCTTTCACTTGGGACACACAAAGTTCCCCTTCCAGGAACGAACCCGGACGAGTTGAGCATTGCTCAGCGGCTGTCTGGGAATCTGGATGACGATCGCGGGCAAACCACTCGGGATCAACAGATCAAGGGACCGTCTACAGGCGTATTCGATACCAATGCAGTAAAGAACCTGGTTAGTCGAATCAACCAGGAGAAGAAAGAAGCTCAAGAGGCCAGCATCAATCGTATCACTGAACAGCAGCAAAGGGATACTGGTTTTGGGGCTCTGCAAGAAGATGCTGCGGCTCAGGCTTATCGCCCACCTAGCATCGAACCCAAGTTTCAGCATATGGGGATGCATACCCAACCAAATCCTTTGTCTGAATTCAAGACTTTCAATGGTAGCAACGGTCCATTTTCAGCTTACAAAACTGGCACGTTCCCTATACAGCAGCCCAACCAACCTCCTGCTTGGGAGGCGAACTCTGCAATCGATCTGGCAGCCTGGGCGAACCAACCGTTAAATGGTGCCTCCCCAACCGCGCATGGAATCATGCCCCATCCCTATGCCATCCGCGCGACAGTCACGGCGGATCTTCAAAACACGGCTGGGTTCTCCCTTCCCAGGAGGGACCCCTCAACATTTGCCAGCCACTTTCCTCGAGAAAGCATGCTACCAAGTGAAACTCCCCTTGGAGCTGGTGTTCTTGGAGACATGGATGAGCGATTGAATGAGGAGTCTGACTCTGATGTCGAAATGGGAGATGCTGAAATGGGTGGTCATGCGGGCCGAGCCGCTGCAGTGCCAGAGTCTGACTACAGTAGTAGCGATGCTGAGACCTCGGAAGATGAGGAGTCATTCACGAGAGAAGGTAGCGATACCACTCTGAGTTGGTCCTCAGACAACGAGAGTGACAAGGCGAGCACTGGAAGTGACGAGTTCCTCACATCCAAGAAGAGAGAGACACGCCCAGGCTTGAAGCGTAAGTCGAGCTGGTCAGCTGTTGACATCAAGGCGAGGAGAGTTGGGGTTTCGGTGACCAAGAGACGGAGTCCAAAGGTTGAACAAAAGAAAGCAACTGATTACATGAAGCGGAAGGGAGGATCGTTGGGTTGGAGGAAGATTTTGTCAGGACTATCTGGTGCCTGATTTGGAGTCTCTGATGACTGTTCCGGAGAGTTTCTGTATGTGCTTGGTTTTTGGGTAGTTTGAATTTCCTACAGATCGATTGGTTTCATATTTCTAGGTAGTCAATTATGCACATTCTGGGTTCAATTAGTGTTGTGTAAGCTCTTCTAATTCCTTAACACTAGACGTATTTGATAGAACTGTATCTCTCAGTGAATACTTTGCATCTTGCATCGAAGGGTCACTTCAGCCTCTCAACATCCATCCTCGTGAAAGACTGCATTTCGAGGCTTGCTGCCCCTCCGTCCGAGCTTAAACAGGTCGAGCCCCGCTGACCCACCTACAGGGCTGTAGCTTCAGTTCGTCTCATCCTCCATCATGGCTGGGCATTCATTCATTCAGTCATTCCATTTAACCTTGAACAAAGAAAAATGAAAAAGTGAGCCACTTCACAACCAAAACTCGTCTATAAAGATAACCTTGGCACCACCGATTCTTTGTTCTGCCACCCTCAAAGAATAAAAGTAAACTACCTACTCCCACTTCATACTCGCTCGGGCCATTGCATCATAGCTCAGTAGACAAAGCCAAACAGGCAAGCAACAAACAAGAGCATATTCCCAATAAGTGGTAAGAAGAGAAGAGAAGAAGGAAAAGAATCTTCAACCATCTCTCTTCCCTTCTTTTTACTCTTTAATCAGTGCTAACCAACTGACAGTTCTCCCAAGCTGCTCGCCATCATACCCCACCACAGTTCTTCTTCTACTTTCATGTTCACAAGAAGATTCGTCACAATGACCATCAGAAGCGTCAACGACATTCCCAGTCTCACTCAACTCTACCGCGACCCGGACTCCGTCCTCTCCGCGGCTAGTCCAAATGACAAGACCTCCTTCCCTCCTGTTGACCGTATCAACACACGCATCGGTTTGATTCGAGGAGACATCACCAAGCTCCGTCTCGACGCCATCGTCAACGCTGCCAACACGGCCCTCCTCGGCGGCGGCGGTGTAGACGGTGCTATTCACAGCGCTGCCGGGCCCGAACTGGTCAAGGAGTCTGGACCACTTGGCCCCATCAAGACTGGCGAGGCTGTCATCACCAAGGGATACAACCTTCCTGCCAAGCATGTCATCCATACAGCCGGTCCAATCTACGGCAATATAAAAGATCCTAATGAGAAGCTCGCCATGTGCTACCGCGAGTGCCTCAAGTTGGCCGTAGAGCATGGCGTCGAGACTGTTGCGTTCAGCGCCATCAGCACAGGAATCTACGGGTTCCCAAACGGCCCTGCAGCCCAAATCGCATGCCAGACTGTGAGGGAGTTTCTTGAGACTGAGGATGGAAACAAGCTATCTCGAGTGGTATTTGTCACATTTGTGGATCGTGACGTAGACGCCTACAACAAGACAATTCCGTACGTATCAGCCCCGGCCCCTTAGCACTTGCACCACGCACTGACTGACTCCTTTGGTATAGAAAGATTTTTCCTCCTGCAAACGAAAAGGTTACTGAATGAAGAGTACCTGGCTTAAAGTATTTTGGGACAAGGGGAAAGGAGTCCGCAATTCTATACCAGTCAGCTTTCAACACAGGTCTCTAGTCATAACTTGTCTGAAACCTTAAGATCTCGTCCAAGATATCATACACTGAACGCTCAATTGCTTCTCTTAGGTTCTGCTGAGCCCTCTACTCCGGTCCCTGTGGCATATATAACAATGCGAGTAGGGTGATTCCTAGACAGACCATCAAAAACATTTACTGGATGAATTCACGATAACATCGTTCGAAAGCCAGGCTCAGCAATCGTAGTTGAATAAATGCTCCTATTTATTGATTCAACGTAAGCGTAACAATACACAATTACCACAATACTATATAAATATGCAATTCGTCAACTCGGGTCAACAAGATGGTCATAAACCAACCATCAACCGAGTCTGTTCAAGCCAACACCACTACCCAAAACATACTGCAAGCCAAATCAACCACTGCGCGACCCTGATCCCTAATTGCTAGAGCCACCCTTCTTTTTGTTTTTCTTCTTGCCTTTCTTGCCTGACTTGTTGTCGCCAGATGTCGCTTCCGCTTCTGGGGTGTCTGATGTATCTGGCATATCGGCAGTTTCTGTAGCCTCTGAGGCATCCTGTTCCTCATCATCCTCAGCCTCTGATGCCTTTCCAGCATTTGAGCCCTTGATGGTATTGTCGTCGCTTCTTCTAGCAATGTTGTTGAGTTGCGACAGCATCGACTTGAGTTCTTCCATTTCTGCTCGCAGTTTACGAACTTCGATCACAGCAGGCTCATCTTCCACATTTGGCTTTGCGGTTTCGCAGGTCTTGGTCCAGCCTTCAGCCTCCATGTCCAGATCCCCATTAAATTGTTCCCACTCATGAATCAGGTCGTCGTCTTCTTCGCCTCGTGATCGGTTACTTCGAATCTTGCGCGCATCCCGTTTCTCGAACCAAGCGGCCACAAAGAGAAGGGGAGAGTATAGAGTGGCCATGACGCAGTCGTTGATAAACTCGTAAGTGGGCTTAGGCATCCACCATTCCAGCAGACCGGAAATAACTATCTCAACAAGGTTGAGTGGAGCGATATATACATTCTCGTCGGGAGCTCGGACAAATTGCATTGTCTTCTGTGCAAAAAGCGCCAGATATTCGTCGTCGGCGTTTTCATAGATACCCTCGTAGGCAGAGTTGTAAAGCGCAATAAGAATGTTAAGTAGAATGATCTAGACGATGTTGTTAGCTCTGGTTGTGCAGAGTCCTTGACTGCCGACTTACCATGACAACGAAAGTAAAGCAGTAGTAGAGAATCAGACCAAAGGGGTGTCCAAAGTTCTCGAACCCATCAAACTCAGGACTTTGCATGATGGCCTTGAGCATGGACTCAATAATGAAATAGGTATCTCCCATAATATTATCGTCGGCAATGTCCAACCCTATGAAGGCCTGAAGAAATCCAATAATGACAACAATGAGGAGCGCAAAGAAAATCAGCGACTCCTTCATCATGACCTTAAGCACGACCAGCATAGCGCCGAAGAACCGGAAGCTGTCAAAATAGAGCAAGAGGCGTGACCAGAACATAGGAGCGACGAACGATAGCAGGTTATAACTGAGCTCGTTATATTTGTTGAATACTGCGTCGTTGTCCCAGTACACTTGTCCAATGATGCGCAAGACCAGGGAGGCAGTCAAGAAGGTGTAGAGGATGAAGTTAAAGACGTTCCAGAATCCGACGATGTTGGCGCCAGCCTTGTAAAACTTGAGACATTCATCGCATACATAAGCAAAGGTGAAGATGTAGAGAGCAATCTCAGCACCATCAAGTACTCCCGATGGGTTTGCAGAGTTGACTGCAGCGGTGTATAGTCCAAGATAAATGACGGAAAAGAGGAGCTGGGCCGCATTCTGATATCTGGGGGCGCGCATACGATCAGGATCCATGTGGATAAAGAAATTTGGGTTGGCCTTGTTCTTGTAGTCAACAAATTCAGAGGGATCATCTTCATCTTGGACCAGCCATCCGCGCCAGAGATATGAGATGCATTTCTGATAACCAGAAGAACCAATCACTCGCACTGCGTGCAAGTCCACAGCCTTCTCAATTACATTGGTTGGAGGCGTAGGAACCTTGTCAATCATAAAAGAGTACCGGCGAAGAAGCACATAATGTAGAAGATAGTCGAGGTCATCTTCTCCCTCAATGCTGATATGGATTAGTTAAAGTCTTATGGAACGAAAAAGTTGCGCGAAACCTACATCTGCTTAGCAATGACAGTACACGCTGTAGCGCGAAGAGCATGAAGGTCGGCGTCCCATAATTCGACAATCGCTTCACGTTTAAACCATTTCATGTTAACCAGCAGAGCGTAAACCTTGAAGAGCACCAGATTAGCATATAGCGAATAATAATTGGGCATATCTGACATACAACACACGCACGATACTTCTGCCCACCGGCCTCTTTGGCCGCTTGAACAACCTTGTTGGTAATGACCGTGCTGTGGGAGCGCGTAATGGCGCTTTCTTCAAGCTCGCAAGGAACGCATTCGCGGATTAGATGTCGGAGTCGTAGGCAAACTTTCATTACCTCCTCGGGAGGAGTGGCAGATGTTATTTCCTGGTTACGGTGGTGAGACAAAACTGTACGAAAGTCAGATCGAGGCCAACTTCTTGGAGGTCAATTTCCCCGCCGGTTAGGAAACTCACGGGCTCTCTCCTCCTCATGAAGCCATTCACGGCGACTGGTTCCATCGGGGCTGCCAAACAGGCTCTTGAAGCGTGACCAGGTGCCAGGCATGATGACCACTGTGAACTTGTAGCTCGACTTTTGTTGAGGATAGAAGGTTACTGTGCTTTGCTGAGAACCGAGACGAAGGCAATGCGAAAGGAGTCGGATTCAGGTGGCAGAGAATCGACGTCGCGTACAATGCAACCGGCCGATCCGCAATAATGCTGTGTCGCAACGGATCAAACTAAATTTGGATCCAGAGGCGATGCTGTCTCAGAAAGATCTCTGTGCAGCAATCGACGGCTGATTGCAGGTTGCAAAACTCAAGCCTGTCTAGACAAACGACGTCGGAATGAGATTGAGGAGAAAGAAACCAACTCTTCCCAGTTCTTTCTCTCGGTTCCTTCAAAGTTCGTTCCATTCCCGATCCAGACTGCCAGCATGCCTTAGTGATAGAAGGAGCCTTAGCTACTCTGCTACTTTTGCGACAGTGATGACGTCGAGCAGGCCAGCAATTGGTCCACCGGTTTGGTCTGTGCTTTTGCTCCATCGCTCGGGAGCTTGTTTACGTGCTTGCAGCATCGTGGGGCGCGCTATCCTAGGTATGTTGTTGAAAGATGATCAGTAGAGACCGTTCCTGGTTGTCCTTTGATGGTGAAGTTTGGCTTGAAATTAGTCTTGTAGGCTTATTCTAACCTTCTCAACCTCGATATCAAGACATGATTTAGAACAATTCCAACGTCGCAATGATATAGATACAGTCTCAGTACAGTACAACTTGCCAATCTCAAAACGTAGCGTTTTAACTGCTGCAAGCTAGGAGGGGTTGACCAGGTTTTTTCTTGGTTCCTTGACAAAAAGCTTGGCCAAAGCTGAAAGTAAACATCCGATCCCCGATGATAATTCCCGCTGATAACTAACTACATTGCTTTGGTCTGTTCGCACCTTGTCTTTAACCTCGCACGGATCATAATCACTTCTTGACCAGCAGAAAAGTTGGCCTCCCAAGTCTTAGAGTACAAAAACAAGTAGTCTAAGTATCATAGTCTAAGCAGCATAAACTAACCTACTAATTTCGTCTCTTATACCTCTTACACTTGATCATAGACTGTGGATTGGCAGCTTTTCTAATCAACAATAGCAATGTGCTCGGAATGCCCCCCCCCCCCCGGAGAAAATGATGTCCTTTCTTTTTCATATAACAGCACATCAATAACCTCATGCCATTACCTAGCTACCGGGTACCCAGCCACAGATGACAGGAGGCTTTGCAGCCATCCTAAAATTATCGTCCTGGCTGCGCGATGAAGTGACACGAGGCACACAAAAGCGGATTGGTGTTTGTCGGCTGCTTCATGTTGTGACTGTTATCTGCACATCGCCAACGCATCAACGCATTGGTAACGATACAGCATATGCATGGCGCTTGTTTATGATGGATTATAACGATAAAGGCAACTGTTCACCAAGACAAACACAAGCACTGCATATGGGTTCTTGCAGTAGAATGTCAATCTTGGCGGCTTCATACTGTCATTTATCGTATTCATGATCTCGACATTGCACCGATACGAGCGGGGTAGATCAGTGAAGCCTAATTTGCCGTCAATGTAGCACTCAATTGGTATCGTGGGCAGCTTCAACTAACAAAGCTGTCAGACTAACATTGTATTTTGGGTGTCAGGATCACAGGAAACTGTCTTGCTTGGCAACTCCGGTGTAATCCCTTGTATTACATGAAGAATGTAGCTGAAGTTGGCTTTGCCGCCCAGTCAGAGACTAACAACCAATCTCTGGTTGATTACGCGGATGGAGTACTACTCATTGGCCATTTCAGTACAATGGTGAGGCGGTCGACAACTGGTTCAGATGTGTTGGACTCTGTGTTTGCCTAAGGCGCAGTGTGTAAGAAAGGCCATTGGTTATTGAGTGAGGATTGGAGTAGTGAATTTTGGCTTACATAGGCGATACGGGTTAGGAACAGAACAAATGTGGGCTGCATACCTCTTTGCACTTAGTGTTTGGTTGTTCTGGTCCCCTTCATCTGCAGTGATACCATGTCATTTGCAGAAGTTGAGGCTGACGGACTGAAGATCGCCAACTGTCAGTTGGTTGTGGATATTTTAGCGTCCAGGCCTCAGATCCACTAACTGTTTAGCGTGCTCGGGGTAGCCAAAGCGGATAGCTAGTTTGTCGATGTGACTTGCTCGGTGTAAACTGGAATAACCTCAAACATCCAACGACTGTCTGCCTCGTCCTTCGGTTTCGCACGAACTTCCAACCCCCACGCAATAGAACAACATCAATTGTTACACAGAAGCGTAGGAATTTGTGTGTAGTATTGAGGTTGGCATTGCTCTTGGCTGCCTGTAGGCTTATCCATGTTCATTATTATCTACAGCCTGCCTAACATATTTATGATGCAGTGGAATGATTACCTATTACTAAACCGCACTTCTCCAATTAGATGTCAGTCCAAGGGAAAATGTCCTTATTCTTTGTGGCTGTGATGCGGTTGGTGCCTACCTACCTTCCTCTCCTCCTCAACCTGCAGCTGTTGGGACGGGGAACCAAGTGCGGCAGTGATTCACTGGCCTGTTGCCTGGGTACAGTTACCACCTGCCAATAGAACCTTTTGTTGCCTGACATACAGCTCATTTGCCCATTGATGAACTTTCTCTCTCATCTTCAAATCCGATCGTTTACTTTCTTTCTCTCCAACCATTACCCCCCTCATCCTCATCACAGGATCTATACTTTTGATACGCCATTTTAACGGCATTCCCATCAAAACTATCAAGCATTTTCTCTCTCTCTCTCTCTCTCTCTCTCTCTCAGCTTGAGCACGATATCTCTCTACTCAAGATGGAGTCTAAGGACTCGGAAATTCCATCGGACCGCCAGAGCGGCCAAGATTCTAAGCAAAAGCCTCTGCAAGACGAGTCAGATGCCAAAAATGCCAACGAGGAGAATGCAACAAGCCCTGCTGTAGCTTCTTCGGGGTCGGTAAAGCCGACCACGAAGGACGATTCCAGTTCTAAGAAGAACCGCCGAGAGAAGAAGTCCAAGGACAGTAACATCAAACCGGCTTCTGAACAGGCGGGTGCGGACGGTTCTAGCAGTTCCAGCGGAGACGCTGCGTCGGATTTTGATGGCGAGGAACCATCTACAGCCGCCACCCGATCACTTAAAAAGCGAGTGGAAATGAAGAACAAGGACAAGAAAAAGGCACGTACGAGAAAACCAAGTTCGACTAAGGAGAAACTTGCAAAGAAACCTACTCAGAAGAGAAAAAATAAGGATAAGATCCCTGATACTTCTTCTAATTCCGATTCAAACACCGACACGGATGATGATTCCATTTCATCTGACTCTGAGTCTTCTTCAGACGATTCAAACTCTAAGAGCGATAAGAAAACGTCAAAGAACAACCTGAAGAATCAGTTTAAGGCACTGCAGCTTCAGTTTACCCAACTTCAATACCAACTGGCGGGTTCAAGCAATTATGCTTCCTATGGAGCAGCCGCCAACCCGTACTCTTTGCAACAAGCTGCGTACCCCGTTACATCTCAGGGTGCTGCTGCCGTGACTTCGGCAGCTGTTGGACGCAGTTTGTACTATCCTCAACGAGGACGTCCACTCCCACCAGGACTCCAGGGCACAGGTCTGGAGGACAACGCTACTAACGACGAAAGTTCTGACGATGCCAAGAAGAAAAAGAAAGCCAGCAAGGAAAAGAATTTCAAGAATCTTGCTTTCAAACGTGTCGACCAAGTATGGGACAGCAACATCCATAACTACAAATTGCAGGACACAGCCGATATGGGGAATGATGGACAGTATGAAAACTTCATCTTTCACGTTCGCCGAACCTTTGACTGGGAAGGTAAGTATAGAACAACCATTGTCGATATCAAGAGCAAGCTCCTTCGCGAATGTTTGCAAGATGTGATCGGTAATGTCGAGGGCATCAGTCTCGTGGATGAGGTTCCTAAAATCAGTCCGAACCTCCTATTCCTGTAAGTTTCTGGCCCACATGATCCAACCACTCTAGAATACCACCACTAAATATCATTTTAGTTATTTGGAAGACATGCGCAATCATCTTAAGGCGCTTCGAAAAGCCAAGCCCGCCGGCGAGACCAAAAAGGCTCGCAAGAAGAACCAAGAGCGACTCAAATACAAGAGAAAGCATCTGAAGGTACTTATTAAGTACCTCGATCACGATTACGAACGTACAAAGGAAAGCCTATATCCAATGTTGGAAAGCGGTCTCATCACATTCGACTTGCTCTGGGCCTTATGGAAGCCAAACACACTGGCCTATACCACAACCTACGGAAGCACCCAGGAGCCACGAGTCTTCAAGGTCGAGATGGCACAGCTACATCGCAGCATCATGAAAGGAGAGTTTTACTACGTGGATGGTAAATACTTCGAATTCGATGGCAAGCGTTTTGGCTACGGCAACATGGCGGTCGAGATGGAAGAATTTCAGGGGGCCAAAAAGATTACCAGCCTCTCATGTTATCCACTACAGTATCATCAGAAGGAGGAAAAGCTTCGCCGTGACTTGATCGAGCGAGGCAAAAAGTTTGTATCTCTGAGTGGTGTTCACTACAAGAGCTATCAGGGCATTGCTTTCCTGAAGCGTAAGAAAGGACAGGTGATGAAGTTCAATATCCAGCCTAGTCGGGTCATGATTGATCCAACTATCTTCCGAAGAATCAACCCCAACTACAGCGTCTCAACCGTCAAGCCTAAGCATCCGGATATTCTCTCCGACGAGGAAGATTCTGACTCGGATTCAGATAATTGCTGTGGCTGCTCTGATGCCGAGGACGGGGAAAAGGTCAAATGGTTTACCAAGGTGTACAAGGACTCTGACGGTGAGGTACGGATGGTCAAATTCCCTAGAAGCGAGATTGAAGATGAACCAGAAGCTGAACTCGACAAGCTCCCTTCCAAGAAAGACGACGGGGAAGATGAGAGCGAAGGCAGTGGCAAAGACGATGAGAAAAATGATGTTCCTGAGTTTACTGACGAAGAATACCTTATTGCCTCTCCCGTGGTGCTTGGATTCGCTTTCTCGGAAAAGCAATGGCTTGAGCTAGCTGTCTCTGGTGCGAGCGACATCAAATGGAACGAAAAGGCTTGGGATTCCCTGGTTCTTGAGGATGGCACCAAGGACTTGATCAAAGCTCTCGTCAAGTCTCGTAAGTACCATGCAGCCAACACCATCGATGATGTGATTCAGGGCAAAGGAAAAGGCCTTGTCAGTAAGTTGAACAAACAATCTATAATGGGGCAGAAGCTAAAACTTAAGCAGCTGTTTTACACGGGCCTCCTGGAACAGGCAAGACACTTACTGCTGAGGGTATTGGCGAGCTGCTCCAATGCCCGTTGTACATGGCCTCAGCTGGAGAACTGGGGACAGACTCGCGATTCCTCGAGGCAGAGCTGCAGAAGATCTTGGACATATGCCACGCCTGGGGCGCAATTCTCCTGTTAGACGAGGCGGATGTGTTTCTAGAGAAACGCAACATGCATGATATCCATCGTAACGCTCTCGTGAGCATTTTCCTCCGGCAATTGGAATACTTCCAAGGAATACTCTTCCTCACGACCAATCGGGTAGAGGTGCGTATCTGAAACTTTCCAGCTATTGAGAGGGTGTAAATACTAATCCGGAAGTGTTTTAGACATTCGATGAGGCGTTCCAGTCTCGAATCCACATCGCATTACGATATGACAACCTCGACTCCAAAGCAAAGCGAACCATTTTCAAGATGTTCCTGGACCGCGTTCAGAAGCTGGGTAAACTGAAGGTAGAGCCATTGACGGAGGAAGACCTGACTGCGCTTTCGAAACAAGACCTCAATGGACGCGAAATCAAGAACGTAGTGGGCTCGGCTCAGGACCTTGCCGTTAACAAGGGAGAGGCTCTCAGTATTCGCCACATCAAACAAGTTCTTGACGTCCATGCGAAATTTGGTCAGGATTTAAAGGGCGGTACTGGCTACGAAGATGCCATGAGAAGCTACTTCTAATGCGGTCCTGCGTTCTGTTTGTTGAAGTGTGGTTGGTTATGCAGTCGAGCCTCAGCTTACCTTTTACTGGACTTCGGAACTTGATCAAAGCAAAAATAGGTTATCGTTGTGACTATCTAGCGTTGAAACATCAAGTTATGAGATGCCTAATCGCTCTCCATTGTGACGGATCGTGGCTTAGCTAGTAATTATCGCTTTCAGTCTGATGTTTTGTCTCGACCGCTTCCAACTTGGAGGATGGACGAAGAAGATGAGTAGAGACATCAGTTGTTGCTAGCGCTCATTCACCCATAGACGTGGATTTTGAGGATTCATAGTTGTAAGTTACAACTAAGCTCTAATGGACACCCTATGCCCAGTTAAGGAGAGAGACAATGTGCAGTTGTTTGACACCCCCTAAAGACCAACTATAAAATGTTTCACTGTTAATTTTGAAGCCTCATTCAATGATTTCCGCTTTGGCATGATCGAGCAAGCGAAATAAGAATCGGAAGATCTACTCTAAATTTGTTAGACACGGGAAGGCGATTTGCCTTGCTATTCGTCTCGCCCCTTTCTTGGATGTGCGCGAAACACGCCCATCTTCTATTGCTCAATCTCGCTCATCACAGACCCTGAAAGGTTATCTCGACGACCATCCACACGGATATGGGCTGGGGGTTGCGTGGAGCCAGAAATAGCAGCTTGGAAGCGGAGAATCTCCACATCTTCATCACTAACACTACCCATGATCATAATACTAGTGATATTCGTATCACGAAGGATCAGGTAATAACGGGAGGGACTTCGGTGACATGATGTTCAACTTGATGTTGAATAATGGCTCAAAGCAACCTTTGTCCTTGGTTCCAGAGCGAATGACGAATGGTGTCTTTGTCGAGATGAGACATGCTAAATCGTAGGTAGAGATAGAAAATGCTGCGATATGTCGCGATTGTTGACTAACTGTCGATCTAGGCTCGGTTGCTTGAGGCTGCCTCCTGAATTGTCTGAAAGAAGGATCAATAGAACATCAGGAAGACATGGGTAATCTCGATCCAGCTGTTAAAGCCGAGTGTATACGACTGCAACCCCCAAGGCCTTCTAGACCCTTGTTCTTGTTATTGCCGGGGTCCTTGTTTATTCACTTTTCTGTCAAGATGTCTACGAGGTTGTTAAACAAAATTCGTGAGAGCAAGTAAAGAATCTCTACAATTTTTGATGCATCACCAGAATCAACCGAACCCAGATTTTTTATGATTTCTTTGTTCACAGATAGACAGACATTCCTTTGTTCATCGAGCGAGACATCATTATCTCTTCAATGATGGTTCATCCAGTGTCTGATCTGCCGGGTGTCACCGCCTACTACTCCTAGAATCATCTGGTCAGGAGCGGATCGCTTGAGTCAGAACAGAAGCCTCCCCTACAACATGAGTGGCTGGATTGTCTCATTTCCACAGCCCCCAGTGACCATGCCATCGTTGACGGTCTGTGACCGGCCTCATTCCAATCCGGGAAGCGAGAGTGTTTAATTTGACATGACCGCGTCAGACCAGTACTGAACGCTCGCCAGCTCCTTTGTTTACAGCATTGTTTGGAAAGGAGGCGGTTACGGCGTGAAGCGTCGTCTGGGGAGAGAACGCTACCAACTACGAAACACACCAACGACGGGTCGAACGGTGAGAGAGAGGGCGCCGCCTCTTTAGTCTTTAGCGAATCGGACCTTGAACAAAGAAGCTTTTGGGTACGATTAAACGCTCCGCTGCCACAGTGGTTGATGATACAGGCTACATACATACCTACAGCACGTACGGATACTCACGCATACGTATACATGCTGTCGTAAACATTGTGGCAGCGATTTACAGCACACAGCATTCAGGTACTCATCGGGTGAGGTTCCCACGTCGCGCGCTATGGGTCCACGTATTCAAGCATCGATTCACCGCATTGATCATGGCATGCCACGACAGACAACAATCCAGCCATTCGCCAGTCGGGCTCCAAGACGCAGTGAGCAAGATATGTTTAAGCAAGCAAATGCAGGTCAAATGCAGGTCAGCAGAAAAGGGTATTACTCGGAGAGAAGGGAATAGGGAATACTGGCCGCATTCTGCTTTTCGAGGCCCTATTTCAGCATGGATCTTATCCCAAGCCTGTCCTGTCCCTGTCCATCTTTAGAAGCTGCCACTGTCCTGCCGCTTTTCCGTACATATCATTTTTGGAGATGAACAATTTCGTTGTGCAGAAACAGAGTATCGTCAACATTCAATAACAACCCAAAATCTAGACAAGATGATCAACGATCGCCATTTTGTTCCATTATCCAGCCCTTTTCTGGTCTAGCTGACCGCTGGAACCAGTGGCCCTGTTTTTTACTGTTTACCTTTCTCTGCAGCAATAACCTGGAAGAACAGAGCCTGCTGACGCGGCCGACGATCTAACCCGCCAGGGGGTTACAATACAGTAAGAAGGGAATTGACTATTTCGGCATGAGAATTGATGCAGGCCAGAATTGGCCAATCAAGTGGGCTTTGTACCTGACAGGGATGAGAGCCCTCACCCCTGGGACCTGTCGGAAGCAGAGCTTGATTTTGGACTCTCAAGGTGGTGGGCCATCGCATCGCAAGTCGGATTAGCGTCGTTTCTGCATTGGCGTTGGCGTCGGTGTGCAAGCGTTGCTTTCCTGGTGATCCCAGCTCCACCGCCAACAGTGCACCTTCTGGTCTGGCGGAGCAAAGGGAAAAGTGATGTGGGAACTGAAGCAAGGATTTGTTCAACATCCTTGGGGAAAGACGAGTACAGGGGCGTGCCAATCTGAGAAATGTGGACGGATGAACGAGATGAGAGAGACATGGCATCCAGGCACACCCAGTGGTGGTCAAAGGGGAATCAAGACACACACACGCACACCCCCTTGCTCACCTTATAATCTCGACTTCCTCCCTCGTTTGTCTCTCCTTCTATTCCTCACTCTTCAATCTTTGGATCACGGCCTTTGCCTTCTAGTCACTCCTTCAACAACGCTACGCGTTAACAACATTCTCTTAAGCCAACTTGCAACACAGTCCTTTTAAAGGCAAACCAAAGAATTCCGAAAAATACCCCAAAAGCAACGTCTTTTTCGAAAAACATTCAAGATGAAGTTCTCCTCTTCCGCCGTTCTCCTGGCCGCCGCCATTGGTGCCTCTGCTCACCCCAGCGGCCACGCTCACCAGCGTGCTCACGCCAAGCGCGACTTCATCGTCGCCAACAACCCCGTCACTGTCTACGAGACTCACGTTGTCACTGCTGCTGCCGCCCCCGCCACCGCTGTTCCTGAGGCTCCTGTCTCCGTTCCCTCTCAGCCCGAGGAGGCCGTCCCCAAGTCCGCCGCTGCCGGTCCCTGGACCCCCGATGTTCCCAAGCTCAACAAGGGCAAGAAGCACAGCTCCGGCTCCGGCTTCAAGCCTTTCTGTTCTGGCAAGAAGGCCAAGCGTGCCACTCTTGAGGACATTGCCGCTACCGGTAACACTGGTGTTCCCGGCGACTACGGTTGCAACATGATGACCGTCGACTCCGCCGTCGCCGACAAGTACACCTACACCACCACCTTCAAGAACGACCACGACGAGGACAAGGAGTGTGCTTGCTGGAACAAGATCGGTCCTCTGGGCAAGATCGACGGTTTCTTCGCCAAGAACATCCCCATGCACTTCACTGTCGGTGCCAAGAGCTCCCAGGTCGTTGCCTTCGACGAGGACTCTCAGGGTGGTTGCGCCTGCTCTTCCAAGGAGGTCCCCACCACTATCAACGGTCTCGTTGCCGGTACCTGGCTCGAGTTTGACTTCGGCAGTGAGCGCAACGGTGGCTGGTCCGGTGCCGATGCTTCTTGCCTTGTCTCCGCTAAGGAGCAGCTTGACATCCCCGGTCTCCGAGTCTGTGGTCACAACACCTGCTCCACCATCAACCCCGGTGGTACTGGTACCAACGCCTACCTCGGCGGTATGGAGGCTGAGGATGGTATCGGTCTGAACATCAACGACAAGGAGGTCCGCCTCACCGTCGACATCGACTACAACGGCAAGGCTTAAGCTAGGCTTGTCTTTGCGTAAACTTGATTTTATAGAATTGGGCTTATTCTATCTATACCTGGTGTTTACGGTGCGCGGAATTTAACTGTTATCCATAGCAATTTTGGATACTGTCTTTGGGATCTTTACATCTTCTAAATTATATATTTTATGATATATATTCCTCTTCATTTCTCATGCCCATTTTTCTGTGATTACTGTGATATCTGTTTAAACTGGAATGTCTCTTGGTGGTTCAGATAGATTAATTGTCAAGTTGATCCCCCAGCTATCCTCAGACTCCATCCGCGAGATTGCCTCGAAAACTGCTTGGACCAACCCGGTCTGCCAAGCCTCGCATCTCAAATCCATCTGGATCGGTGTGAGCTTGAAAGGATTTCAAGTCTCGGGAATACAAAGTCTTGGATGAAATAAACTACTTGTGGAGTTACACTAAAAGCCTCCTACTTCCAGCAAACGATCATCGTCGTATCTGAAATCTCTTCACTCCCTTGCATAGTTTTCTTTTCTTTTCCAGTTCTTGGTGCGTTCTCTTGATGGAGACATGACAACCAGCCTTTTTACAATAGGTCCTCAGCTTCTCACGAGTTGTGAACTAATGCAGGTTGGGCTTGTTTCAAGAAAGGGGCTAGTCTTCCGTCCACGCAAACTGTGTGGGAATTTGTTTCTCTCCCGAAAGTTCCGCGGCAGTGGTAGTGTACTGGGAAAAAGCAAGTTGAGACACTAATAAGTTTAAGTTGGTTGTTCACGAGAATAGCTCAGGTATCACAGAGGTGGTTGAAAAAGAGTGTTGTGCAAACTTGTCAAAAGGCTCTTTACTTTTATTCCTCGGTAGCGGGCTGCAAGAACCCGTTGTTTGTACTGCAAGCTTTGAATTGAATTGCCACCAATTGTGGTGGTAGTTTATGAGGCATAAAGTTTGGCCTTGGCCCTGTACGTCTGCAC